TACATAATAGTTGTATATCTTTATAGGGTACATGTGATGTTTTGATATAGGCATACAAGGTGAATTAATTAAATCAGGGTAATTGGGGTATCCATCACCTCAGGCATTTAACATTTCTTTGTGTTGTATATTTACTTTTTTTTTTAAATTATTTAAGACCTTTATTAACAGATGCTTGCAGTTTGTTGACTTTTTTGAAAAAATCGGGTTGTAAACTTTTATTACAAATTAAATATGAAGTTCTTAAAAATCTCAACTTGACCAACTATGAAACAATTTAAAAACCTCTAAAGACGTATTGAGAAAAACCGGGCTTTTTTAAAAAACACATTCGTTATTACCAAAAAAGACGTCTTTAGGTAAAAATAATAAAAACCCCATGCTGCATAGATAATGCAGATAGTTCTAGTTATCTGGTCAATGGGCAAAAAGCAAGCACTTAAGGTCTTCAGCTCCAATCTTTTCTTCATTTCTTATTACTGGAATTTCATATTCATTTCTTCTTGTTGGATGACTAACTGGACGATGGTAGAGATGGTAAGCCGGCATTTGCTCAGCCCCGCCATGCTCAGCCTTGGGAACGGACGAATTCTCAGCTGGTGGACCGGCTGCTTTTGTCTCTTTGCCATCTTGTGGTTTAGGGTTTTGTGGGCCTCTGTGACAGTAATGGGTAATTGAAGTTGCGGCGGTACAGACATTGAGGTGGCTGCTGACTTCGGGTGTCATCTCCTTGATTCTCCTTATCCTTTTCACTGCCGTCCTCTCTGGGCTGTCTTTGGCGAGGAGGGCCCCTGCGGAATCCTGGTCTATAACCCCATACATATTTTGTCTTACCGGTGGTCTACCTTGTTCTTCTGCCACCTGGTTGTCAGCACCCTCCATTTCTTCTCCCTGCACAGAGGGTTAGAATACTGTGGTCGACGCCCATAGGGTCTCCACATGTAGTAAGGTGGGAACCTTCGCCTGCGGTAGGGCTGGCATTGTTTGGGCCTGGCCTTCAGGAGCCCTCTCCCGCCCTCATTCTTTTCCCCACTCTCACTATTCTGGTAATTCTGCTGGTAATTGCGTGGAGGACCCCTGCGATGTGGATAGCGTCTATAATGGTTAGAGTCTGTTGCATATTTACTGCCTTGAACTGGAATTCCACTAGGGCCTGTAACATTTGCTGCCTCCGCACCCTTTCCTCCTTCAACCAACATCAAACTCCACAGTCTCTCCATGTCCTACACTACAAAGGTACTTCCTGCGGTTATTCTTCTTTATGGCAGTCTGGTGTACAAATACATCTTCCTTGGTATCACTCCTGTTGATGAAACCATATCCGTTTCTTACATTGAACCATTTTACTGTCCCCAAAACCTTCGTTGCGATGACCTTGTCCCAGCCAGCAGGCACCTGCCCACATGAGGCCGCCTGGGCCACCACTCCCTGCACTGCTGACCGTGGTGCCTGGCTTGGTGTCGGCAGCGCTGAGGGCGAGGGGCGGCGGGCGGCGGGCGGCTGCTGGGTCTCGGCCTCGCTGCTCATGGTTGTGGTGATGGTGACTGGGGCCAGAGATTCAACACCAAACATTAATATACATGCCTTTATAATATTAACATTTGGTGTTTGTATTGTCAGTTAGATTTTAGAACTCAGTGTTTAAATATGTTATTGTAGATACCCAAGATGATAAGAGCATGAGCTTTAGAATCTTAAAGATATGAATTTGAACACATTTCATCACTTACTAGCTTTGGGGAAATTAACCCCTGATAAGCTCAGTTTCTTCATCTGTTAAAACTTACTTAGTAAAACTTAGTGTGCATAAGGTTGTTCATAGTAATAAGTGAGAACATGTTCGAAAAGCACTTAGCACTAATTATAGGTACTCACGTAAATGGTAACTGTTATTATTATTGATGCTGTTTTTATTATTAAAAACATGGATTCATTCTTTTCCTCAATTTGGAATTCTTCCCAGTCAAATGACAACTTTCTTCTCGCCACTTATCGGTGCCAGGCAAATACCACTAGGCTGGAACTCAAGGTAAAAATGCTAGAAGTTACCTAATGTTTGAACTTTTCCCGCCCTTTGTATACCTTACAACATATTATATTATATTATTTCTTTGCATTGAATTTCTCCCTGAAACGAATTATTTTGGAGTAATGACTTTTGAATGACCAGTTAAGTTTTAATTTAGCCCAAACCACAATCTATATTTTTATAGTATTCAATTACCTTCTCTAAAATTATTGATCCTAAAGTTTCTTCTTACTGGAAATTTTTTCCTTATTTTTTATTATGGAAAGTTTCAAACATATATAAACGTAATGGATTCCTATGTATTTATCACCTAGCTTCAGCAATGATGAATTCATGGCAATTTTGTTTCTATGTCTCTTACTGCCCCAAATTACTTTGAAGCAAACACAAGATATTTATGATTTAATTTGTAAATATTTTAGTATGTATGTCTAAAAGAGTACTTGTACTCTTTTTTAAACATAACTACAACACTATTATCACACCTAAGAAAAATTAAAAATAATTCCTTAATATTATCAAATATTTAGTGTACAGATTCCACTGATTTTTGTTGTTACTGATTATTTGATCCATTCATCATCCAAATAACTAATTTAGTTATTAAAATATCTGGGCATTCACCCTATATTTTCCTACTATCTATTATAGATTTTGCTGATTGTACTCCAGCGATGTCATTTATTTCCATCTATTCTAGAGAAAACCTTTTAAAGTTTTCTTTAGCAATTTAATAACGTAATCATTTTTATAATTAAATATTGAATGTAGCACACAAATCTATTTTAGTTATTTGTAGTGTGAGATTTTTAAAAATTTTTAGTTTTTATATATCTATGATTTAAAAATTAAGGACTATAATTGTTTTTCCTGGTGTTGCTGATGTTTTGAAACTCAAACTATTTTTTTTCAGGAGAGATGCTGTTATACAATAATTTTTTCACACCTGGTCAAGGAAGTTCTAGTTAAATGTAATTTTTCCCTAAATAATCCATTTTTGTCTACATAAGTTCCCTGTCATGTATTTTGAAAGAAAAATTGAAAACTGGGATAAATTTATTTCTAAAAGAATATACTTAAGCATATTTTCTAAGTGGCCTAATTAAACGTTTTAAATTATAAATCACTGAGCAAGTTTGTGCCAATAAATTTGAAAGTAGGCCCAAAACTTTTCTAAAAGCAACATTCCTTTTTTTTAAATTAATAATCAGATACAATAATTTTAAAGTACAGAGAAAAAAGTAAATGCCTAAAAAAAGCCAAGAAAATTATGAAAAGGTCTCAACACAGTATTCCTAATAAAGGGAAAAAAATTATGAAAAGGAAGAAAAGTAGGTGGAACTTGCTTTGCCATATAATAAAACATTCTATAAAACTATCATAACAAAAATAATGGGGGGTGTTTCCAAGCCTAAATAAATAGGCCATGTAACAGAATAGAGTCTAGAATTAGGTTCCAACACACATTTATGGTAATTTAATGTATGACATTTCTATTTAGGGAGAAATTCTATTAAATTACTATTTCTATTTAAAAACTGGTGTTCGCACAGCTGGCATTCATCTGGAAGAAAGTTAAGTGGATTCTTATCTTACTCCATAAATAAATGCAGATGAATTAAGTACCTAGTTATTTAAAAAGAAGAAAATTTGTCTTCCAGATAATAGCTAATTATCAATAAAATACAAAGACAGCCTATAAATTGTTTTAATTAAGGAATATAGGCAAAGGATATGGATAGGCAATTCACAGAAGAGGGAATCGAAATAGTTAACAAAAAAGTCCTGCCTCATTATTAGCTAGGGAAATTCAAATCAAAATAACAAAAAGCAATTTCTGCTCATCAAACAGATTTGCAAAACATGTTAAAGAACAATATCATTAGGTGACATGAATGACTGTCAGTCATAGCTGGTGGAAAGATAAATTGTTATAGCCACTTTGGAAAATAGATAATAGCCTCATTTGAGGGAATCTATTTAATAGCAATAAATTCACAGTAATATACAGACAGATGTATATAAAATTAACTGCAGCATTGCTTCAAGAGGCAGAAAAGTGGAACCAAAGTGAATACTCAAATGATTGAATGGTTGAATAAATAACTACTTATCTACACCATGGATATTTAGTGGAATATTATATAGCTACTACAAAGAATGAGATGATCTATACCTGTTAACATGGAGGGAATTTCATGAAACACACAAAATACAGATAAAATCCCTATGTATTTGTATATATTTATATCTATAAATATTAAGAAAATTATGAAAAGAAACATACCTATCTGGTACAGCAGGTGATACAATATGGGGAAGGCATAAGTGGGACAGGGACGTGATAGTAACAGGAGAGGCAGAGATAAAGGGGGGAAAAGTGAATTTTGGAAATGAAAGCAAAGATGTCTATAGTATAAATTGAACTTATTCATGTGAAATTATCTATTCGTTTTTGTGCTTGTGCATAGAGAGACATGAAAGGATAACTTCCAAAATGGTTACAATGATCATCTCTGGGTGGGAGGATTTCAGGTGACTTGCATCTTTGTCCAAATTTTTCTTTATTGCTTGACTTTCTGAATAATCAATATGAATTGTTATATTCATTATTAGAAAATAAAAACTTTTTCATAGAAAAATTGTTATATTCATGATTAAAGCTTTTTTTATTGTGAAAAAATTCTGTTGCCAGTGTGAGCTTACCCTTTAAAAATAAACCCCAAAATATAGGTTTGTTAAATCTATTTTTTATTTTCTTTATATATTTTTATTCATTACTTTTCTTTTTCTTTTATTTTTCCTCTCTCCGCAGTCAGAGCAATATTTATTTGCAATGCAACATTTGCAAAAACTCTTGCCATAAACTTTATTTATATTTCTCACTTAGGTAAAACATTGATTTTTTTTTTCCTCATGCCACAAAAAGTATGAATTAAAATATCAGATTAGAGAAGTTACTTTTGTAGTACAAGAGGTACTACAATCCATCCCATGAATTGGAACAGAGAGGAATGGAAAGGAGGGCAAGAGGAAGAATCTAGACAACTTTCCAACTCCTCTTATACTAGGTCTCATAGTTTAGTGAATTATTATTTTCTGTTAAGAGTTTTGAATTCTCAGGATATCCAACCTGCCATATTCAAAATAACTCAAAAGACTTTTCCAGTCCAAATATGCCATAATTAGATTGTGGGTATGCATCTCTATTTTCACAGAAAATTAAGAATTAAGTTCTTAGAAACACTTTGTTCTGTCAGTAGATTTTTATATTAAAAATAGTTACATGCTATAATGATCTCATTTCTGAGAAAAAGTATTTCATATATGTTTATTGTATAAGTATTTCATATAAGTTATTTTGAAAACTTACTTATCAACAAAATATCTGATTTTAGCCATTTTTATGTGAATCTTATAAAATATTAATATAGAGAGGTGATGGGTTAGTATGTGAGAATATATGTCTTGGAATGGTATAGTGGTGGAGATAACTTATAGATTAATTAATTTTGCTATTGACTACCAAAAATCTTTTTAATTTTCCTTTACTCTAGTGGCAAAATGTAGTTGTTTAATGGAATGTCATGATATCCTTCAAAATAGTATAGAAGAGAATAAGGCATAAATACTTGATAACTTGTGTTGAACATTTTGAAGATGTGTTTATGTTGCTACATATTCTTTTCTTTCCTCTTTAATGTTGAATCAGATTCGCTCAATTGAAGGCCAGTATGGCACACTTCAAGCATACGTGACTCCAAGAATTCAGCCCAAAACCTGTCAGGTCCGCCAGTACCACATCAAACCTCTTTCACTCCATCAAAGAACTCACTCTATTGATCATGACAGGTAGGACAAAAGAAAGAGCAGTTTATTTTTAGGATATTACACAATTCAGATAAACCTGATTTATATTTTTATAGTATAAATTCTGGTAGTTCTTTCTATATCTTAAAAATGAAATAAATATTTTAAAAGGTATGGATTTAGTATTTCTAATAAATATAAGATTCTTTGTCTTATTTTAGAAACTGCTTTGAGTTGGAGTTTCCTATCTTTCTCATATATTACCATTCTGAGGTCATTATAAGAGTAGTAGTTCTCTCTCTCTCAAACACCTGTTGTGAGCAAATACTGTTTAGGTTAGATCTAAGAGTAGTTGTCTGTGAATAGGACCTTCATTGTATTAGCTCAAGCATCATATTTCCTTTCTGTTTCTCCTCACAGATTAGTGGTAGAACCATTGGTTGTTGTAGTCCTTTTTATTTCTGACTTTCATTCCAACTTAAGCATCCTTCTGTTTGTAGTTTTTTGGGACTGGAGAACATGGGCTTAAATGAAAGAGAAGGGAAAGAGGTGAACAATTATTATTTTCTTTGTGCTGTGTATTGTGCTAAGTGTTTATGTATTATCATTTAATTCTTACACCAGTTTGTACAGTAATGTCTCCGTTTTACAAGTGACAAACGGAGGCTTAGAAAAGCAAGTAACTTGCTAATAAAAGGACCAAAGGTATGAATTGAGGCCAAAGCCCATGTTCTTTCTATTGCAGCTTGTCATTTTAAAGATATATAATTTAAATAAGATGTAAAGGGGAATATTCCTACTAAGATTTCTGAAAAACATTAAAGAGAATACATTCTTTTTGGGATATCTTCTTACTTAAAAATCAAAGTTGACCTTAATGGATGCAACATGATGTGCTTTACAGAACAGCAAATTGAGAATCAAGGGATTTGGATTATAATCTGTTCCTATGTGACGTTAGGGACATAATTTCTATGGATTTTATTTTTTTCATCTGTAAATGAGAGGGTTGGTCTGGATGATCTCAAAAGTTCCTTCTAGCTTTTAAATTTCTTCTTTTTTTTTTTTAATTTTTATTTATTTAAGACATAGGGTCTTGCTTTGTTGCCCAGGCTGAAATGCAGTGGTGCAATGATAGCTTACAGCAGGTTTGAACTCCTGGGTTCAAGTGATCCTCCTGCCTCAGGCTCCCAAGTAGCTAGGACTAGGACTATAGGCTTGTGCCACCACACACCCAGCTAATTTTTTTATTTTTTGTAGAGATAAGGTCTGACTATGTGCCTAGACTAGTCTCAAACTCCTGGGCTCAAGTGATCCTCCTCTCTCAGCCTCCCAAATTCTGGGATTATAGTCATCAGCCACCATGCCTGGCCAAGATTTCTTAATTCTGTATCCTATTAAAGTTCTTCAGAACTTTTCATTCCATAAACTTTGTATTTTCTTAACTCTTTAAAATTATCCATTTGATTTATTTTAAATTTATTTGATTTATTTTACAACCTTCTGCAAGATAGAATGATCCCATATCTCTGTAAGATAGAAGGTGTTATTCTCTAACTTGCCTAGTGACACACACCCAGTAAATAATGGAGCAAGGTTTTACATCCATGCCTATCTTACCCAGCCCAATTCTTTGCCTTCACATTGTACTGATTCTTTTACTAAGGAGATTCTTGTGTAAGTATGTTTGGTAGTTTATATAGTATAAATACTAGATGAACTTTTAAAAAACAAAATCTACCTGAGTAAACGGAATTTTATTTGTAAAGCCTGTTATAATGAAAAAAAGCTATTTACATATATCACTTGACTGAATATTAAGACACCTAGCATAAGTGCAGGTATAGACAAGTGTTTAAATTTTTTTTTCAGGAAATTGGAGTGTTCATTTATTTGATGTGTGAGATTAATCTGAGAAAATTAAATGGGTTCTTATGTTTATTTAGCTACTGTTGCAGAATTTTGCTTATTAATGCATACATATAATACTTCCACGTATTCTCACACACAAATGTGTACCTCTATCATTAAATTACAGACCCATGAATACACTGACTCTAACAGGCCAGTTCAGTTTTGCTGAAATTCACTCCTGGGTGGTTTTTTGCCTGCCTGAAGTTCCTGAAAAGCCTCCTGTAAAATGTGTGACATTATACTTTCAGAACACCTTCCTGGATACACAACTTGAAAGTATCTACAGGTAAATCAAAGTTATTACTGGTTCATAAGTATTGTTTTATAGAAATGTAGCTTCTAGGTTTTCATTTGTTCTAAGGCAGAAATAATTTACAAATAATATGATTGGAAACCTATACTGTTCAAGAGAATCTATTGAAAAACAAGTAGAATTAATAAGTTTAGAAAAGTGATTGAGTAAAGATGAATATGCAAAGATCAATACCTTTCCTAAGTTCCCAAGAATAACGTTAGAAAATAAATTGCTTAAAAAACCCTTTCAGAGTAGCAATAATAACAAAGTAGCCACATAAAATCTGTTAGAATGGGGGAGGGCAAGGGCAATGTAACCTAAACATTTGTACCCCCATAATATGCAGAAATAAAAAGATAAAAAACATAGAGGAAAATACAAAAAAGCATTGAAAACAAAACAAAAAGAAAAAAAGAAAAAAATCTGTAAGAATATTCTTAATTTGAAATACATAGAATTTACATAAAGAAAACTATAAAATTTTATGACATAAAAGATTAAATGGAATAATCAGTAGTCATCAAAATGAAGCTGTTGTAAAAGACTGTAAAAGATCAGTGCTACCCAAAATGATTTGAATATTCTAATTCTAATAAAAATTCCAGTTGAATTTCTTTGTGCAAAACTATAAGATAGCTTAGAACATGTAGGCTTTTTGAAACTAACATGTTACAGTGTGGAGGTCATTGTATCTTTTACACTCTTTCAAGCTTCTAGTTGCCTTCACCTCCTCCTCTGCTGTTACTTCTCACTCATCTCTCATAAGCTCTAATAATTTTTCTCAATTTCTTAATGCAGTGGAGGCTAATAAAAATTTCTTTTTTTTTTTTTTTTTTACCTATTTCTGAATGTGAAATGGCCTACTTCTTGGGCAAGGCTAGTATCTCTGCATCTGCTCTTTGATTTGGACCCTCTGGCTTCTTCAGGGTCTTTGTATTCTCATTCTTACATCTGTAAGTTTGCTTTTGTTTGTGTTTGTTTGGTTTATGTTGTGGGAGAGAGAGCTTCTTATCCTCTCTTTGCCTTTGCCTCTTAAGGATTTTTACCCTAAGCAGATAAAAGAGGTATTCCATTATACTTCCTGCTCCCTAGTTGAGACTTTATCATGGTAAGTTCTAGAAAGAGCAGTGAACACATAATTTTATCTCAGAATTTAGCCTTTTGAGATCAAGAAGTCGTCAGAAATCTAATTGGTTTTAACATCAGTTCTGTGTAAGTGTCTCTGTGTACCCTCCAAGGAAGCTTATCTGTGTCTAAACCTGTAATAATTTCTCCTGTTTTGAAGTACCACAGTGAACCTCTCTCACTAATCCTAGCAAACAATTCAACATGCTCCTAACATATTATGTACTTTTATAACAGCATACTTTTGCTCTTTACCATTCTGTGTCTTTAACTTTTTTTCCTTAACAGTCAAAACTATTTCTCCTTCAAGGCCCAACTTAATAGTGACTTTTTTTTTTTTTTTTTGAGACAAGAGTCTCACTCTGTTGCCCGGACTAGAGTGCCGTGGCATCAGCCTAGCTGACAGCAGCCTCAAACTCCTGGGCTCAAGCAATCCTCCTGCCTCAGCCTCCTGAGTAGCTGGGATTACAGGCATGTGCCACCATGCCCAGCTAATTTTTTCTATATATTTTTAGCTGTCCAATTAATTTCTTTCTATTTTTTTAGTAGAGACCAGGTCTCGCTCTTGCTCAGGCTGGTCTTGAACTCCTGAGCTCAAACAATCCACCCGCCTCGGCCTCCCAGAGTGCTAGGATTACAGGCGTGAGCCACCACGCCTGGCCAATAGTGACATTTTTGAAGCCTTGATTCTTTTCTCTTTTCCCATAGCATTTTATTCTTACCTGTCTTTTGTATTGTTATTTGCTTAAAGTATATAATAATTTTTATGTAGGCTTCTCTAAGTTACACGGTATCCTCCTGGGCAGAGTCTATTTTTAATTATCTTTGTATGTATCCTCCAAGGACCTACCGTGTAGGTTTGCACATAGTAGTTGCTCAACAAATGTTTTTTAGGTCCCTGAATGAAATACATGTATATGGAGGTAGTGTAGAAGCATGTGCTCGGGAGGCAGACATACTTAGGTTTAAATCTTGGCTTTGTTACTCACCAGCTATGTGACCTTAGCTGATTACTTAACTCTCTGAGCTTTAGTTTTTTTTTACTGAGGAATGGAAATAATAGCACTTCCTTGAACTGTTGTGATGATTAAAAGAAGATAAACTATGTGAGTCATTCCACGGTGCCTGACACTGTGTAAGTGTTTACTAAATATCATTGTTAAGATTAAAGACTCATAAAAATGTCATGATTTCTAAAACATAATTAGGATCAAAATAGTAGGGGTGTATTATTCATCTTTCTAGAAAAAAACAATTAGCATTTGCCCACACTTACTGAATATCAATGATTTGTGTGTCTGTGTGTGAGAAAACAAAATGAACAGGCAACATTGAATATATGAAAGATGGTATATATTATTTAGGAAACTTGGTCATCGTAAAAAGGAAGAAAATGGGCTTAACCAAATAAAAGGAATATTGGCTCACATAAAAGTATAGCAGTAATCTGCCTCAGGCACAAGTGTATCAAATTAACTGATGTCATCAAGACTTTATCTCTTTCCATTGCTCAGTTCTGCTTTTGTCTTGTCTTTGCTTTACCACATAGCCACCAGCAGTTTCTGGAATCTAGCCTTATAACTTTTCAGCTGCCATAGAGCATCTCTTTTCCCCTAGTTCTAGTAACAGTTCTAGGATTTAGTAGTTTTGTCAAGCTGTGAATCCCTGTAGTCAGGGTTATGGAATATACTGCTAAATGCTTTCTCCTGAAGTCCCAAAAATGGATTGAGGCCACTGCCACTGAAACTATACGGACTGAGAAGGGGGAGGCAGAGAGGGAGAAGGAATAATTCCCTAAAGAAAAATAAGGGTCCTGTGGCCAGAAGCTGTGGCAATGGATGCTGGCATGTAAAAACAGCAGATGCCACTCTTTCAGGTTTGATACCAGATTTCTTTTAAGAATGAAGCATAGGCCAGGTGTGGTGGCTCACACCTGTAATCCTAGCATTTTGGGAGGCTGAGGTGGGAGGATCATTTGAGGCCAGGTGTTTGAGACCAGCCTGGGTAACATAGTTTGAGACCAGCCTGGGCAAGAAATAGAAAAAGTTATCCAGGCATGGCAGTGTGCTCTGTAGTCCCAGCTACTTGGGAGGTTGAGACAGGAGGATCACTTGAGCCCAGGAGTTTAAGGTTGCAGTGAGCTATGGTGATGCCACTGCATTCCAGCCTGGGCGACAGAGTAAGACCTTTAGAGATTGCAGCATACAGTCACGCGTAATCTGTGTGATTCCATCAAAGAAAAACATACTGTGTATAAGTAAGCAATTCCAAATACATTATAAGAGGTTAGCTATTGGAAATATTAGTGAAAATGAAAAAAGTTGTCTTAAATGAAGTACTTACATAAATTGTCATATCTTTAGGAGGTGTATATCTAGCATATTTTGTTTAGTTTTACGAGTATGTTCAGAAGCTGAATTCATATAGTAAAAGATTACATATTTAAATATGCTTCATATTAATGATATATATATACAGAGAAATCTAAAATCAAATGAAATCTAAACACTAATACACTTAGAAATAAAATATGTATTTACTGGACCACTTCCTTCTACAGCTCTTCTTTTAAAAATATATTAATTTTATAGAAAAGGAGAAGGAGTTTTTAAATCTGACAACATTTCTACTATATCCATCCTAAAAGATGTGCTTTCTAAAGAAGCTACGAAAAGGAAAATTAACCTCAACATAACATACGGTAAAAATAAAGAAAAATTAATTATTTCTGATTTTTGTTGTTACCATGATAATGTTTGTGATCAAAGTGACTTATCTAATTGTGCCTGGCCAACTCCTTCTAGAGATAAATGAAGTATCAGTCAAACACACTTTAAAGCTAATCCACCCAAAGTTGGAATACCAGTTGCTTTTGGCTAAGAAAGTGCAGTTAATTGATGCTTTAAAAGTAAGTATATGTGTTGTGGACTCACGATCATTATTTTAAGTAATGGAATTTTAAAAATTATGAATACTTTCATATTACACTGGATTGAATTTTGAATATTAAAGTGTTTCTGTTTTTACTTTTAAATAAGGAATTGCAGGTTCATGAGGGAAATACAGACTTTCTGATACCAGAATATCGCAGTATTCTAGAAGAGGCAGATCATCTACAGGAAGAATACAAAAAGCAACCTGCACATCTTGAAAGACTCTATGGTTAGTGGACTGTTCTAGAATACCACGTCATATTTCTTTTGGTTATTTTCCCAAGGATCATGTGAGAGAAGCTGGGCAGAAAGAGACAAAGATTACAGCAGTCATGAACCAATGATAACCAGTTTATTGCCCAGAATATTTCTGTATTTTCTCAAGCTAGTTTAATATTTTTACTTGATAAAATACAAGTAAAAAGAAGTAAAATAAGTGCGCTGTGATGAATTTGTATATTGTGAAGAAACCTGGTATAAAATGAGTATAACCTAAGAAGCATTAGAATATAGACTATATTTCACACAAATAATGTTTAGGTTTTGTTGCTATTGTGAAATATAAAACTGTGAAATTTAATTTTTATATTTCACATAGATTATATATAATCTTTATATTTTTAGGCAAAATTTAATTAGGGATATATAGTATATGTGATGAGTAATTTACAGTGTAAAACTCACTTTGGTGGTGAGAGGTGTTTCACAAATTGTATTAAAAGAAAGAATGAAGGAGTTCCGGGGAGAGAGAGGGAGGAAGAAAGGAATGAACAGCTTAAGAAAAACAATTTTGTTAGCAATCTTTACGTAAGACCTATTGTGCATAGCATTCTATTTGTACCATCTTCATAATCAAGTGGGGTTTTAATCCTTATAAGAGGTCTACAAGGTAGATGGTGTTGTCTTCATTTTTCATATTCTTTAACTGAAATCTGAGACTAAAGAAGTTGTTGTCACATAGCTAATTAGTAGCAAAGCCTGCATTAGAGTCTTCTCACCCCAAAATGCATGCTTTTTACACTATGCCAAGTCTTCCATAGTCACTATAGAGTCAATTGATCCTTAAGCCTGCTGCTGAATTTCTTATTACATACCTAGAGGCTTTCTTACAAACTGTAACAATATCTAGTATCTTAATGTTTACTATATGGCAAGCCCATGATCTCTTTTATTCTTATAACAACTTAAGAGATCAGTGGTATAGATCCATTAACTCTTACCACTGGATTCCAAAATCCAGAAAGCTTTGAAAACCGAAGCTTTTTTCAAAAATCATTTGGCAGCAAAATCTTGACTTAATCTGAACTAATTTAATGACAAAACCTGACTTAGCCTGATGTGAGGTTATTTATAATCTTTTTTTATTCAATGTAGTGTAGATATTCATCATATATTCTGTTGCAGAAATATTACTATTTTTTGTTTTTGGATGCTACCATTCAGTCCCTTTGGGTTAATACTGTATGTAGTATATTCCTTTTATTATCTTACAAAAATAAGGAAAATTCTGAAATACATCTTGCATGAAGGGTTTTGGATAAAGGATTGACAGCTTGAATTATTCCCATTTTACATATGAGAAAACTCAAAGGTGAAATAATTTGCCCAGGTCCTTGAACCCAGGACTGTTTGCCTTCAAGATAAATCCCGAGAATGGTCAACATATAGGTGGAGTATTTTGATTCAGAGAAAGCTGTTAAGAATAGAATCTAACTACATTATGTCAAAATAGTCTGCTTGGTGGGAAAAATAAACCACTTGTAATGATGTTATATATACTGATAGCATTTCAAAAATGGACAGCAGTTGATTGAATTAATAGCTTGTAACCAGTTGTTAAGAGGGTTATTAGTCAAATGATTTATATCTTGAAACTTGCTTTAAAATCCCCCTAAAATGACTGTTTAAAAAACATCATGTTTAAACATGATGTTTAAAAAATATCAACCCTTTTAGGTTTGTGTGTGTTAAATAGTAGAATTACGGATGCTTAAAATAGATTATCAAGCAATCACGTTAATGAAATACTGTGTCATTAAATAGACTTAATCAATGACAGGAAATTAACATTTTTCTTTATAGGCATGATTACAGACCTTTTCATAGATAAGTTTAAGTTCAAAGGCACCAATGTAAAATCAAAAGTACCTCTTCTACTGGAGATTCTGGACAGTTATGACCAAAATGCATTGATTGCTTTCTTTGATGCAGCATGAACTGTAAACAAGGTAAAGTCCCAAAGAAATGATCTTTTTAAGTGAAAAATGTTAGAACAGAATTTCAAGCTAACTGTACATACTTTTATTTCAAATGCTTTTTAATATAATCTAAAAATATTTGAGATATGACTTTTTTAGTAATGCTTCTATTTCTTTGGACAAATGGAACTTTCTGGAACCAAAGAGGGATTTTATTTTTAAAACACAAGTAGAATGGTTATAAGTAGGATTGTAATGAATTTTTGGCAAGAAGCTGTTTTTTTAATTGAGAAATAACATTTGGAAAATAAAAATATATTCAAATGTTTTACAAGGTAAACACATAAATGTATAAACTTGCTTTACAGGTTTCAAAATGTATCCTTATATATTGCCTTATTTTATCTTCACAATTGTTCTGTAAGTTTGTGAAATCATATAAGAAAACTGAGTCTCAGTGAGGTTACATGATTAAGAGGACATGCTAGCATTTTATAAAGCTGGGACCAGAACCCAAGTGCTTGGTACCTGGTTTGTGTCCTGGTTACTAAGTATGGTCTTCAACCAGTGTAAATAACCTACCAGTTATTTTTTTCTAGCAATTAGGGTTGAATTGCAACTGATTTCTCTCTTGCTTGGTGTAATGTTTTATGACCCTGCTGCGGTTTGTGAAATGCTTGACTTGGCTTAGTGCTATAAATTGTGGCCAGGGAAGTAAGCAGAGCCTGCATAGAGTGGATTGATCTTAATTTGTGCTGTAACCAGTTGAGCTATACAAATGTACTATATATAGGGGAAGGGTGCAGAAATAGTGATGGCTTCGTAGATTTTTCTGCACTAGTATCCTCTAATTCCCTTATCATTTATGAAGGAAATATGTCTTTAAGGCTACAGAGATTTTGTTCATCAATTTGAATTCATATTTATTCATTTCAAGGGAAAAGGTTTTAAAATCACATAAAGATAATGGAAAATAAGCTATTTATGTTTTCGAGAATGGCAGAATCATGAATTTTTCAGAAAACAATGCTTCTTGATTATATGCCATTATATTTGTTAATTATGTGCCAGCGTTATATATAAATATAAAAATTTGTTAAAGGCACATATAATTAAGAGACTTTTATTTTAATAAGGTCATATTGGGTTTTTTTTGAGTCAGAGCCTCGCTTTGCTGTCCGGGCTAGAGTCAGTGCCCTGGCGTTAGCGTAGCTCACAGCAACCTCACACTCCTGGGCTCAAGCGATCCTTCTGCCTCAGCCTCCCAAGTAGCTGGGACTACAGGCATGCGCCACCATGCCCGGCTAATTTTTTGTTTCTATTTTTAGTTGACTGGCTAATTTTTTTTCTATTTTTAGTAGAGACGGGGGAGGGGGTGTCTCGCTCTTGCTCAGGCTGGTCTGGAACTACTGACCTCAAGCGATCCTCCCGCCTTGGCCTCCCAGAGTGCTAGGATTACAGGCGTGAGCCACCACGCCCGGCCTATATTGTTTTTATTATATTTAAACAGCCTTCATTTTTGAATAGAGCATATAATTGTATCTCAGTCACTAGAATTTCACTGTGTGTTTTTTGTTGGCTGCCACAGCTTGGGAAAAATTGATAAAAATTAATAACTACTTGCCTTTCTTGTAATACATTACTTTGTTATATATACAACAGTAGTTGGCATCTTAATTGCATCTTCATTAGGAAAAATAAAAAGCGTAAGACACAACTTCTGCCCACTGTGAATAAACATCTAAATGGTAAGATAACATTATAGTCTGCCACTTGAATACTGTATTACTATGTGAGCGTTACCAGGCATCCGCCTAGTGGCTCAGTTTAAAGTCAGGAGAAGGTCGGGTCCTGTGTCCTCCCCTACCCCTCCGCCCAGCGCAGGCGTTTTTCCTCCCGCCCCATTTCGACGTTTTTCCGCCCCGCCCCGCCCCTTCGCCGGGCGGAGGGAACCAGTCCCGCCCCTTCGCCGGGCGGAGGGAACCAGTCCCGCCCCTTCGTGGCCTCCTTTACTCTCCTGCGACCCCGTCGCCTGGAGTGACGTCACGGCCCTCGACCGCTTTCATTGGTCCATTTCAATAGTCGCGGGATACTTGAACTGCATGAACAGCCGCGGCTACGGCGGGCTGCTTGCTACAAGTCGGGGTCGTCTTTAGCCCGCCACGCCTGTCCGTGCTTGGCCGTGCCTGCCCGCGCCTTTCACGACCCCCTTGGTCCTACGTGGTCCGGAGTCGGGTGAGCAGGCAGGCGGGCAGGCTGGCCTGGGCTGCAGCGGGCAGCTACGGCTGGAGTATTCCTTGGCTGAGTTGGCGCAACTGGTCGGCGGGCGGGGAGTGCACGCTGCTTGGCGCCGCAGGCTGATCCCGCCGCCCGCCCCCGGGAGCAGTGATGTTGGGCAGCTCTGCGCCGGGGCCTGCAGCCCGCGAGGCAGGCTCGGCACTGCTAACATTGCAGCAGACGGCGCTCCAAGAGGATCAGGAGAACATCAACCCGGAGAAGGCAGCGCCTACCCAGCAGCCTCGGACGCGGGCCGCGCTGGCTGTACTGAAGGCCGGTAACCCGCGGGGTCCAGCGCCGCAGCAGAGGCCCAAGACGCGACGGGTAAAAGGATGCGAGATGTCTGTAGGAGGGTGGGCCGAGGGGGAATTGGGCATAGGCTTAGCGGGAAGAGTGGGCTTTTGAGAGGAGGGAGTCTGGAGTTCACCTGGTCCCCAGTTTCCGGTGTATGAGATGCCACAGTAGGAGTTTCTCCCATTATTCTTAGCATCACGACCCCCGCCGACACTGCGTATGCTGCCTGTCTGCTCTCTTTTGGGGGTATCTTCCCATACATAGATAAAGGGATCCAACCGAGCCATAAAATATGTGTCGTCTTTGCCAAGCTCAGCGCCCTTCTCTCCACTTATAAACCCTAGGCACTGCTTTAGGACCCAGTTCCCCTTCCTCTTCATCATCTGTTTAAGAGATCTACTGTAGGAAAAATTACAAAAAATACTTTGCTTTTGGTAAATTCCGCCATTTTAGCCGTATTTGCTCTGTTGCTCCACCCTGGGGTGAAAGCAGTGAACCAACACTTTTTTGCCAACTCTTCCCTAAACTTGTCATCTATTGGCCTGCCACTCCACCTTTCTTGTGGCTTTGATTACTTTTACATAATTCCACTTAGTATTATAACCTTTGTGGGAATGCCTGTGACAAACTGGAACACCCTTTCTGTCTTTGCTCAAACTATTCTTTGCCTGGACTTTGCCTTAGAAAGTTTAATTTTCCTGATAGAGTATTTGGGAGAAACAGGCTGAGACCCATAAGGGAAAGAAAGCAAAACTCCATTTAACAGGCTCAAACCCAGTTATCAATTTCTTTTTAGGTTGCACCTCTTAAGGATCTTCCTGTAAATGATGATCATGTCACTGTTCCTCCTTGGAAAACAAATAGTAAACAGCCTGCATTCACCATTCATGTGGATGAAGCAGAAGAAGAGACTCAAAAGAGACCAGCGGAATCCAAAAAAACAGAACATGAAGATGTCCTGGCTTTTAATTCAGCTATTACTTTACCTGCACCACGAAAACCACTGGTACCCCTTGATTATCCAATGGATGGTAGTTTTGGTAAGTTTTAAGAAAGTCTCCATTCAATTAAGGTAATTATAACTAGATTGGATTGCTGTTATTTTGCATTTTAAGGCAATGTCTTACTTGATCATTATTATGAAGTGAGTTAGGTTTAACGTAACAAGGCTTCAAAAGGGTGTGACTTACCTCAGGCATCACAGCTAATACTTGACCTAGTGACCTACAAAAGGATCCTAATCTGGACACACTGTCAAAATTACATTGATCTAATTAGATTCTGAATACTTATTTTAATCTGATCCCATAAATGTTTACTTGGTTGGGAGAATAGATTTGTTATGTTTATAAGACTCACTTCTTCCATACCACTTTAGAATGTGCCATTTGAGGATGCAGTCTTAAATAATATGATATCTAACATCTCTTCCAGCTTTACAATTGTGTTTCTGTAAAACCAGTCTGTGACGATTTGATAGCAGAAAGTGACACTGCCCTCCTGGAAGTCAGTCAGTGGTTATACCATGGCTGTTTGTTCTTACCATCATACAGAATAGAGTAGCTGTTGTAGATGGCTCTGCCTAAGGTTTGTGCATTTTCTTTGCCAAAGGGCTAGAATCACTGGACAGCTCACTAAATCCAATCTCATTCTAGTTTTAGTTCTATTGATTATGGGGGATGAGGGTTAAGAAGAAAATCCTTTGGAAATAATTTGTGTTCTTATTCAAATTTTGCAACAAAGTTTTAACCTCAAGATGATCTTTGAAGTGAAAAAAATAATGGATGGTATTATTTGCCTCAATATAATTTGTTACAAGAAATGAATCACTTATTATTATGTTAATCCGAAGTGACATAACAAACCTAATTTCCTCATTAACACTTGTTAATGGAAATCATTTCATTGCTTCTAACTATTGCCTAATTGTGCTTTGAATATGTTATTCTCCGGGGGTCTGCAATACCTCTTAAGGCAGATCTTAGATATTATCTTAAAACTTGGATTTTAAGTGCTTTATGCTAACAGAACCACCACACCATTTGTTCCTTTTGCTCATGGGAGATGAATACTTTAAGATAACATCCAATCCTTGTTTTCCTGTTAGTGGCCTATCAATATTTTTTCTTATTAAAATCATTCCAAAACTATGTGCACAGAGATATTAAAACCAGAGTGAAATATTCTTTGTGTTTTGCCATGAGAAACCCTTTTTAGTTGAGTGAAATAAATGCTTTGGTAGTATGAGATTCCTTACAAGGGCAGTCATTTTTAGCTATTAAATCAAATAGAAAATTAAGCAATTAATCATATCTTTTTAACTGTCCCAGAATCACCACATACTATGGACATGTCAATTGTATTAGAAGATGAAAAGCCACTGAGTGTTAATGAAGTACCAGACTACCATGAGGATATTCACACATACCTTAGGGAAATGGAGGTAAAGGCTCTCTGTATCCAGTATATATAATGTATTCATTAAATGTGGCCAAATGAAATTGAGAGGATAATGTTTAAGTTTTTTAACTACTAGTGAGTTACTTTAATGCTGTACTTAGGTTTATAGCATGACGTATTTTTGTTAATGATAAAATAACCTAATTGCAGTTTTAACCCTACTAAATAACTTTTTCAACAGGTTAAGTGTAAACCTAAAGTGGGTTACATGAAGAAACAGCCAGACATCACTAACAGTATGAGGGCTATCCTGGTGGATTGGTTAGTTGAAGTAGGAGAAGAATATAAACTACAGAATGAGACTTTGCATTTGGCTGTGAACTACATTGATAGATTCCTTTCTTCGATGTCTGTGTTAAGAGGAAAGCTTCAGCTTGTGGGCACTGCTGCTATGCTGTTAGCCTCGTAAGTCCACCTTGGTTTGCTCAATTAAAAGTGACCATTACCTTTTTGTGTAGGGAAGAAATTGAGATTAATGGTGATATTTTAACATATTACACCAGGCAGAGAGTCAGTGACTACTTGAGGGATGGCAGTGTGGTGGAGTTTGGAGGAGTGGAGCAAGATAAAACTGTGTTCTAATCTAGAACACTAATTTTCCTGATCTGAATTCCAGGGTACCTTTAATGAACATGGAGACTGGCTACACTTTCCATACACTAGGACTGGATTACAAGTTTTAAAAGCATAGTTCCTTCCATAATAGTGCTTTCTGGGATATAAGCAGGGTCTTGTCTTCTCTTAATTAAGACATGAAAACTAAACGTAAAAGTGAAAACATAATGTTTACTTTCCTGAGACTTGTATGTCCTAAATTTCTAGTTGCTTGGTGAACGCTGGCATTGTCCTCATCTTGGGAAATCTCATGCCTTTCATTTATTTCCTTTGCATGGGGAGAAATCTTAAAAGTCCTTTATCGATTTGGGCCTTTTAATTAGCAGTTAGCTACCCAGTCCTGCTAGAAATGATGATCAAGTGTCTGTGGAAGTACAGTTGGTAGCGTGTGTAGGTTTTGGGTTCATTCTGTGTATTCTGCTAATGGGATTTCAGAATTGGGATAAAGAAGCTTCTCTTGACTGATTGCTTAAAACTTTTTTCATTGTAGAAAGTTTGAAGAAATATACCCCCCAGAAGTAGCAGAGTTTGTGTACATTACAGATGATACCTACACCAAGAAACAAGTTCTGAGAATGGAGCACCTAGTTTTGAAAGTCCTTTCTTTTGACTTAGCTGCACCAACAGTGAATCAGTTTCTTACCCAGTACTTTTTGCATCTGCAGCCTGCAAACTGCAAAGTTGAAAGTTTAGCAATGGTAAGTTACTTTCATTTGTTGGATGGAGATTCTTAGGTAATAATTAGAGTCAAGCTCTAGTTTCATTGTACAGCTTTGGTCAAGAGATTTAGTGTTCTGGGGAGAGATTAATGCTACAGTATGTAAAAAAAAAAAAAAGCCTACCACTGGCAAAAGATAGTATCAGGAAAGCACTAGGAGTTAGTGGTATGAGGATGAAGCCTTGGGAGATAGTAGTCAGAAGAGTTGTTTTTAAAAAGTTATTAAAGGAGGGAAAATACAAGATAGGAATGGTGCAAAACACTGATAGTGTATGTTTAATGATGAGGCTGTGGAATAATTTTTCTAGAGTTGCTACAGAGCCAATTTCAAAGATAGGAAAAAAATAGGTCAGAAGGCAAGGATTTGAGGTTTGAATTCTGAAGCTCTAAAGTAGTTTCCATTCCAGTTTTTAGGAGAATTAAGCTTGATAGATGCTGACCCATACCTAAAGTATTTACCATCAGTTATTGCTGGAGCAGCCTTTCATTTAGCACTCTACACAATCACGGGACAAAGCTGGGTATGTATTACACTGTCTTCACATATTTGCCTTGTGACTGAAATGCTTGTGCCAGATAAGTTGAATAACTGTCCTATAGAACTGATGGTTGTCTAGATGTTCTTACTTGGAAAAACTGGTCAAATATATATGGTTGATCTTTGAACACCATAGGTTTGAACTGCAAGGGTCCACTTATCCAAAGATTTTTTCAGCGAAATGCGGATTGAATACATAATGTTCTTGGGATGCGAAACCTGTTGTACATGGAGGGCCAACTTTTCATATATGCAGGTTCCCCAGGGACAACTGAGGGACCTGAGTATGCACTGGAGGTCCTGGAACCAATCCCCTCAGTATATTGGAGGGGCGGCTGTGTTATTGTTTAAGGCATCTTACCTGTTGGATAGCATCTGCTTGTTCAGTAGAAAACTTAATTACACTTGGATTTGAAAGGTGTGCTTAAAGAATTCAGGCCATCTGACCCGCTGCTTGCAGGGAAAAGTAGTAAAAGTGGATCAAAGGTAGCATAAATGAGATGGAATAGTGGCCCAAGAAACTAGATTTGTTAGTTGGAAGTGTTAAAGATTATTACTGAAATTTAACATAAGTTAAGCTTAATGCCAGCTATTATTAATTGTGTCTGTTACAAAAACAAAATTCAGTGGTTCTCTACTCCCTTCTCTATAGCCTGAATCATTAGTACAGAAGACTGGATATACTCTGGAAAGTCTTAAGCCTTGTCTCATGGACCTTCACCAGACCTACCTCAAAGCACCACAGCATGCACAACAGTCAATAAGGGAAAAGTATAAAAATTCAAAGTAAGAGTTAACTTGAATAGATACTAAAGAAACTTGCTTTTCCAGATTATCATTCGGGGATGTTTGACATTTTAACTTTATTAAAGGATTAACTAATCTGCCACAGCCTCCTTGAGAAGCTGTTCTCTTAACAGGTCCTGTGTTTGGAGACAGCTGTAGTTAGTGCTTTCTGCTCTGCATGGGGGGAAAGGAGGGGGATGGATGACATGGATGCATATTTTGAGGACCAGACAATGTTTCTGAAACCATCAACTCAATCAGATAGAAACAGCATTTTTGAGTTTCCAGTATGTGTATTATCCTATGATCTTCCAATGAATATTGCTAAAAATGTTTTTTTGTCTTCTTACAGGTATCATGGTGTTTCTCTCCTCAACCCACCAGAGACACTAAATCTGTAACACTGAAAGACTGCCTTTGTTTTCCAAGATGTAAATCACTCAAAGTATATGGTGTACAGTTTTTATCTTTGGTTTTAATTTTACAATCATTTCTGAATACAGACGTTATGGCCAAGTACAAATTATGGTATCTATTACTTCTTAAATGGTTTTAATTTGTATATCTTTTGTACATGTATCTTAGATATTTGGCTAATTTTAAGTGATTTTCTTAAAGTATTAATGATGCCAGCTGTCAAGATAATAAGAATTAATAAATTGATTTGGAAAACTTTGTTTGCAAGTCACATTTAACTTGAGGTAAAAAATTTTGACTTTAGGATTTCACTTACAAAAGTTAACTTGGATTTACTGTACAATAGGGAGTAGAAAGCCTTCCCCTAAAATTAGCTTTAGGAAAACACACTCAAATTTTGGCATTCATTTTCCTAAGCAACTGGACATTTTGCTGACTTGGGCATAATCTAAGCATATCTGGAATAAATTTGTGCTTATTTACCAGTAAAGATTCCAAGACCCTTTCAGCTCTTTGTACACACTGCAGCAGCTGACAAAAATGCTTGCTTTTTCATTCATTTCTAATCAACTTTTACACCTCACCAGGTCACAGTTGTTTAAAACCTGCTCAGGTTTTGAGAGGACAAAAACTCAACTCAACTGAGGTTATGGATGGGGTGGGAGGCTTTTGTGCAAATTAACAGACAAGGAAGTTCTCCAGAAAATTTATTTTAAAGTATAATGTAAAAACAAAAACACCCTATTTTTAAAAGGCCACTGGATTTTATAATAGATTTATGAATAAAACATACCCAGGGTTGTCAGCACTGAATAAATATCCTTTTAATAGTTATATATACAAATATACAACTATGTTAGCTTTAATTAGCAGCTCTCTTTTTTTTTCTCTTTTTCACTGGCTTTTTACTTGGTGCTTTTTCTTGCTTTGCACTGATGGTCTGTGTTCTGTGAATAAAGTAAAGTAACAGTTTACTAACAGTATGTTAAAGTCTGTATCACTGAAATAGGCCTTATTTTTTCCCAGTAGGATATAAAATGTGTCAGCTATGAAAGTAAAATACAGTAACTCTGAAAGGCATCCAAAGAGTTTATAGAATTAGGTCTGATTTTTATAAATCATCAAAAGAACAGTTGGGTATCTAATGAAAAAGGGGCATCTTTTTGTTTATAGTAGTATATAAAAAGAAAGACTGAGAGCAAGCCTCCAAAAGTCTATGTATATATTTGAAATAAACCAGAAATTTGTTACCTTATTTTCTTTGGATTCTTGTCTGGTTCTAAAATGATCATTTCTTCTTCTTCACTATCTGAGAGTACTATAGGGGCATCTTTAAAAAAAAAATGTTAAATATAAGCAATCTCTTGGGAAACAAATCCACATGAGTTTATGTCAGAGGTTCTAAAACTCCCATTTCCATGCTAATACAGACAGCCCAAGCTACTCTGTGCGGAGGCTTATAGATATACTTTGTTCTTTCCCTATCTTTCTGAAATAGTTCCTTTCTCACCAACTCTGAAAAACTCTTCTGTAAAAATTCAATGTTTCTTTAACTTTTATTTCCTAAAGATTCTTTAATTGTATAACCACTTGATATATGTCATACCTAAAAGTTAGGGGAAAAGTCCATATGGCATCTTTTGTACAACCAATTTGGAAATGATTTGAAGTCAACATACCAATTGAATTATTTGTGCTACTCAGTAAGAAAACACCACAGTTTACCTTAAGATTTGTTATTTTTACTTTCTCCCTATTAAAAACACTGGGAAAAAAATTCTTAGAAGCAGAATTGTTGGGTCAAAAGGCACACATATTCTAAGATACTTTTGCCAAATCTCTCTAGTAATAGGAAATGAAGAACCATTTCCCATATAACCTTACCAATGTTGGTGTTTTTAATATTGCCAAATATGGTAATCAAAAATGCCATGTCATTTTTCTTTGAATTTCTTTCTTTTATTACTACCAGGGTCGACCATGAAAAATAGTGCCACTTGATTTTCTTAGAACTGCTTTCTATCTTTTGCCCATTTTTCTCCTGGGCACTAGTTAATGATATATACATAAAGTGAATTAACCCTTTTCCCAGTTGGTTGTATATCAATTCTCGTTTTTAGTTTTCCAATGGTTTCTCCCTTTGTTTACATGCTTTAGAAAGGCTTTACCTGCTCCATCTTATGTCCACCTTCATTATTGAGTTGAAAATGTTGCTCTTTAAACCAGCAACAGAATATCTAGCTATTAACCAGTTCTTAGAATACTAAACAAATATATGAAGAGGTATACACACACTAGCATTTTAACAGTGAAAAAACGGAAGTTACATATTCAACAATAAGGGAATGGTTAAACAAACTAGTTACATTCAATCAATGCTATAGAAGTTATGCAGAATTTAAAAAGAAAGTGGCTGATCTACATCTACTGCCTTGGGAAAACTAAAGGTAAGTCCCTGTGTTTAAGCAGCTTACATCATAGCACATACTACTATGTGCATACATTATTTGCACATACAGTAAATAAATACCTGGAACAAGTAATGGAAGAATAATACCACATAGAAGTAATCACTCCTCAGAAAACTGAATAAGGGTCCCAATCAATAGGAATTTTTTCCCCTTTATCTATTTAGCTAATTAAAAAAACAAACAACAACAACATCAAAAAACCCAATAGGCTCTCAATAGTGTTCATAAGCAAGAGTTTCCTCCTTGAAGGCGGGTGGTAAGTGCGTTCACTCCTGAACAGTACCACCTTCACTGTTTCCTTAACCAGATTTAATGAGTGCATCCTCTAGTTCCCTGCCAGCCTAATTTCTAGATTCTTGTATGATTTCTTTTCCCTACACAAAAAAAAATTCCTTATTTTATTATATGGACTAGGCAAGAATTTGGTTTTTTGAAAAGTAAAAATGTCCATTGGCAAAATCAACAATTTCTTTAGTTCTACAGCTTTCAGAATGCAAGGAACATCTAGGACTACCGGTATTCCAGTCACTTCTAGAAATTTTTATGTTCTAATACCACACTATCTAAGGGTAGCCATAGCCGCATGTGGCTATTTAATTTTATGTTAACTAAAGTTAAATAAAATTTAAAATTTAGCTCCTCAGTCACACAAGCCACATTTTACGTATTCAACTGCTATATGGAACAAGTGGCTGCTATACCGGGCAGTGTAGACACAGAATGTTTCTATCATTGCAAAAAGTTTTATTTAGATAGTACTATTCTAAGTTATGATATGGACTTTTTATTTCAGTCTAGAAATGATAATGATACAAAAAAAGACAGCATGGAGGAATGAGATCTTCAAGAAACTCATCCCCTTAAAACTGGCCCACATACATATACAGAAGAAAAATAGAAAAAAAATTTTTTATTAACAATGTTATTATTTATATGCCAAAGTGTACCGCTACTCCACAAAGCATATTCTTTTAGAAAAGAATTGGTGTTAATATTGCAGTTAGCCTCAATAATTAGTTGAAATTTAAATCACCATATTTAGCTCCTCTAAAAAAAGGATACACATATTCCTGTATATAGCTATATATATATTTTCTCTCTATATAGGTAGCTATATATATCTATATATCTGTTACATATATCTATAGTTCATATATAATATATACATATCTATATATAGCTATCTATAAAGTATAATCTATATATAATACAGGTAGCTATATATCCCATATATAGACACCTACATCACATAAAAGGCATTAAGTATCACCTACCTTGGCTTCCAATATTGGGGACTTCTACTCCAGTGTCCATTTTTATACTATCAAGAATGATAGCTTCATCACTGCCACCTTCATCCTCATCTTCCTTCCCAGAGTCTTCAAGATCACCCCAGAAGTTTTCTATTCCCTCTCCAATTTGGGCAGTTCCAGTCGTCCATAACACAGGTTTAGAAACACTTAACAAGTTAAGGAAACTGACTAACAAAAATACTGCCATTTGATCTACTGTTGAAAAAGAATGAGAATTAAAGTTTTCTTCTTGTAAGAGTGATTCAAGTGTGCCTCAAATTCTTAGAAAAAAAATTTAATATAGCTATATTACGGATGGCTGAAAAATGAAGAAGAAAGAAAAATTAAATTTATGACCCAGCAAGATTTTATAGATGCAATTAATGGTAAGAAATATCAAGAGACAGGCTCTCAACATTTTAGTTACAGTACTAAATTTAGTGAATGAATGAATAATTTTGAGAACAATATATAATAGTATATAAAGCGTTTGACCACGACATCAATATTAAAGAATAATTTTTCAAAGGAAAAATGGTGTAAATTGGTTCTTAAAATAGAAAATTTTCTGGTTTTTACAGGATAAACTGAAAAGAAGTTGAATGTTATATCATCAACTTAATATGATTCACATCACTATTTTGTATCTTAAGTGTCTTCTCTAACAAAATACTGTTTCAGAAAACTAATTTTGGCATGCGCACCATTCACGTAGCCTTAATAATGCCAAAAGTGTTATGAATCTTCTTGTTACTGCCAATACCACCCAATAAAGATACACTTCTGAAGGAGGTTCAGCTTCAGCAATGATTTCTTCTGCTTTTTCCTCTACATCTGAGGTATCAACAGGGGCCTTTTCCATTTTAAATGCTGTGATCCTTTGATTTGCTATAGACTCCGCAAAGCCAAACTTTCCACCTTCTTTCCTGTATGCGGGGGTTTTTTGGGGAGGGAGGGGGACAGAGGAGGAAGATGACAGATTAGAGCGAAGACAGGAAGGAAAAAATATTATCTTTGGTGGATGAGAATTATTGGAACAGTTTATTTGACTTAATTAACCTCACCAATTATGCCTTCAAGAGAAAAATAAAAATAGTTACTATAATTATCATTTATTGAACCATGTGCCAGGCCTCTGCTAAGTGCTTAAAGTATATTATTTTCCAATTCTCAAATCAGCCCTACCAGGTAAGCATTAATATCCTTTGTTACAGAAGAGAACACTGAAGTGCTGAGTTATATATCTTAAGACAACACAGTAAGCAGAAGGAATCAACTCATTTGTGTTCTTCCCCATTAATTGGGTTTTTCCCTAAGAAAATGTTAACTTTTAAAGAAAAATCTTACGTGGCTTTGCAATACAAGTTATATTTAAATTGGATAAAATATAATAAACTGAGTCCAATCAACTTTTAAAAAACATATTAAGTGGTATATTCAACTGAGATTAACAAATAAGGAA